AAAATATATAACATAATTTTAGTTAAGAAAATCCATGCTGGCTTTCTCATTGAAAACTAGACACAGAAGATGAGGATTGATACTTAATGGATTAAAGTGCCACATATGATGACCAAATAATAACATCAGACAACTTTTGCAATCAAGGACCAGTAAAGCGCGAATGGATGAATGCATGCAGGATCAACACACAGAAAAGCTACGACTTATTTGGGTTGAAGTAGCATTTTCTTCCACAAGAACATGGCAAGCAATCATTTGAACACACAACTGTCATCCCCAAAAGTCAGGGTAAGAAGGGTTTAGAACAGTCTAACTTCTTGCAAAAGAAATCTAGATAAATAAATGCAGACTGAATGCTTTACTTCTTTGAAGAAATAGTTTTTAAGGCACCATCACCATGCTCGACGAATATCCAGTTAGCTGACAATGAAACAAAACCTCATTACCAGTGAATCCGTACAATGATATAACACGTGCAAATCAAACAATATGGAAGAGTTAAAGGAAGGAATTACCCTTATACAAGCTTTTCACTCACTCAGTGATACTCCAATCTCCATACCTCATGCATCAGTTGTTTCATTCGTTGATATGTTCTCAGAAGTATCCATGCAGGGACTGCTTTTAGATTGATCTCCTTCAGCATATAAGCGGGGATTCTTTGATTCATGGAAAGATAGATTTTGTTTACTTTTTGTAGTTATCAGGGAAGACTCCTCTTGGTGAGCTCAGCAAACCTGGAGTGTTTTCCTTCTTGTAAGAGCCTAGTTGATGATGGTGATTCTGGTGCCTCAGAATGTATCCCTGGTGATTCCATTGGTCTATGAAACAGCAAATGTGCTACAGTTCGGTCTATGGGATTGGTCTCTGTCTCCATGTTAGGCATTTGAGTAAACCTGCATTATGATAGCATCAAAGGCAGGTAGAGATATAAAGAAAGTTGATGAGAAGGTTATTGAACTTTCATCTCATATAAGATGAAATATTCATATAATTGCCCTGTAATTTGTAATCATCTCAATGATGGGAGTTGAGGACAGGGAGGGAGGGAGGCAGGGAGGGGAGATGCAGGGGCCATGGCCATGGCCCCTGACCTCACAAATTTTCCTACTTGTGTATACATATTCAAGACTTCAAGTCTTGCATTTTAAAGGTCACACACTTTTTGTAAGTTGTAGACCCCTATAAGGAGGCATTAGGGTGGTGGAGTGTAACAGATTGACAAAAGATCAAAATAAATCATCACTGCCAGGAGTGCCGTGAGAGAGATGCAGTATTGAAACACCAGCCCTTAGAAGGCAGGGTTTGCCATTCGGTTTACAGGATCATTGCCTACCTTTGGGAGAGATCATTAGCAGATAGGTATTACACTGTCAATGTTTGAATGTAATTACTTAGTGAAATAAGAAGCAAACATTGATAGCTAGATTAAGTGCTAAAGTAAAATGCAAGTGATGGCTCAAGAGATTTATGAATTGTTATGCTAAAGAGTATTATAGCATATGCTCTAGTAATGCCAGTGACAATCTGCTTCATTTGTGTAGTGACAATAAAGCCAATATTAATTTTGGTTAACCCAGACCAGCATGACAGGACAAAAACACCTAGATAGATGGACATTTGATCAAGGAAAAGTTGATGAAGGCTTTCTCTGTATTCGTCTTGTTAGGTCACAAGATCAATAGTTAATGAATTTATAAGGGATTTTTTATAGCAATTTATATCACCATATTGTATACAGCATGGACATGTAAGACACATACGCCCCCAACTTGAGAGGCAGTTTTTATGGAGAGGAGATTATGCTAGTAATGGCATTTTTATACTCAGTACCCAATAAATATACTGCCTTATGTTGTTAGTTAATGCAAACCTTTAGAATCCATTGTATTTCTCTCTTCTCTTCTATCCTAGTTCTCTCACCTCCGTCATCTCCATCTTCAACCATATTCAACTCATGCTACAGCCAGGAAGGGGATACAAAAAGAAAATGTAGCCACCTTTGTATGGAAGTACAGTTGTTGTCTGCTACAATAATACAAAAAACTATCTCCAAGTCACATGGAGCAAACTCTCTCAGTACTCAATATAATCATAATGCTGCCTGATACTATTCAGGAACATAAACAACATAAACATAGACCAGAGGACAGATATAGGAGAGAAACAAAAGCAACATATTATATGCATTAAAAATCACGTTATCTGCCATATTATCCACTCTCAAGGCAATAGAATGATTGGGTTATATTCACGAGAATAGCAGGATGAATGAAATCAGTTGTATCAAGAAGTCAATTTTAATAAACATAAGCGAAGAGACAGAGTCTTATGTTTAAGCAACGTTGTAATCTTGACAAGATGGCTAATGGAATAGAGCATATTCACATAGTAAAATGAACTTCCTCTCAAAAAACTTCTTCCTGACAAAAAAATCCAAAAATAAAAACAGAAATCCGGATTGCTAGACAAGAATCAGAAGAAAGAATGTTCTCTCGGAGTTTCCACAAGATGAAGCAACAAAAAAGAAAAAAAAAAATTTATAGGGTGAGCATGGATAAGGCGGGTAGGTTCTGGTGGTGGAACCTGGAACCTACTTTATGAGATCAATTCCAATATTTTTGGAACTGAAACCTACCATGTTGGGTCTTGGAACCACCGTAGAACCTAGAGTGCTGGCTTTATGCGAGTTCCAAGGGTATGGACTACCCTGGAACTTGTAATTGTTCACGTTATTTTTTTTTTCCTTACAAATACAAATTTATAATTTAAAAAAAGCTAAAATATGTAATATAAATTTTTTTTTTATAAATTATATTTAGTTTTCACTTCAACACAAAACTATTAAACATGCTTCACTATCATTATTTATATCTTGGAAAGTATACTGTGGGTTGATATTTTAGGAGTTTACAAAAATGGAACTTAGTTTTTGGTAGTTCTTCAAATGAAGATTATTAATAAATGACATGATTTAATATTTGTTGAATGCACGTGTATTTAATTTGTTAAACAAAGGTATTAAAATAAATAACAATAAATAGAAGTCAAAATTAATTTAAATTACTAAGGTAAAAGTTCCAAAACTGTTCTACCCAAGGCTAGTTCATCGGGTAGGGCAGGGTGGGAAAAGGATACATAAGCAGCTAAAACCTACTCATGAAGAACTAGTTCCAAGTTTTTGGAACTAGAACCTTCCCCACTTATCACCGGAACCATTAGAGAACCTACCTCTACTTATCTGAAAATTTAATGTATAATAACTGAGAATAGAATCACTACCTTTTGACATCACAATGACTTTGCATTTGGTAATAACTCGTATCTGTTTAACTTAATTTTGTATAGGACACAATTTCAGTCCATTTTCAGATTGGAGTTAGTGGCAACCAATTATCAAATACACCTACTTTTGAAATCATCGAGCATCTTCAGATTTTGTATTTTGTTATCAAATAAGGCCCCCAACCATTTCAATGCATACAAGAGTTCTATGTTCCTTGAGCAGTAAGAATCGCATTCAGGTTAACAAACCTGTTACTTGTTTCCTCTTTTGTCAGAACTTCAATTTCATCCCTGCTATTTTTGTTTGTACTGCTTGTATCACTAGCATACTGCCTCTGCATTGCACTCTGAGCCAGTCGAAACAAGCTATCTCGAATAAAAAGCCTTATACGGTATCCAACTGGGGAAATAGATACTTTTGGCAGTAAGATTGTAATAAAGTTGATATTTCCTATAGCACAGAAACATTGTGGTCCCAGATACTACTCACCTTGGCAATAGTATCTTGAAGCCGGTGAAGAATTACATCCTCCACTGAATAATAATCATCAACTGCCTCAGACATTGCATTAGCATCGTCTAGTTCAATGGGTGAGTTTGGATCAATGGAGGAAAGGGTGCTAATATTTTCTTCAATTCCAATATTCCCTCCCTGCATCTGCAGAACTTGATTTCTTGCTGACACTTCTGAACAACAGTTTGATCATTATTAGAGATTTGGTGACTAAATTGTTGCTGTTGTCTCTGAATTGCAAGTAATGCCTGCATTTGCTGCCGCCTCCTCAATTTTTCAATTTTTTCCTGAGGTGTCATTATCTGGGGATTCATGGAAGTTCCTGGAGACCTGCTTAAAGGATTTGCACTACGGGGAGAAACTGCATAGCCAGAAAGCACTGATTGATTATCTTCTCCACAATGAATCTTTGGCAAACTGATCATGGGAGCATATGGATTTTTGATACTTCCATACACAGAAGGGGCCACAAATGAGTTGGGAGAAGACTGATATTGGGTTGATTGCTGAAGCTTTGTTGCTGACCGAGGACAGGAGCCTGTGGCATTGAGGGTGCAAGTTGGCCAAATTGTTGAAATTGTTTTCCACGGGGAGACCAGGTGCTACATGATTCTTGCAACTGTTGTCCCTCAAGTCCTCCTGATCTTTTGGGATTTTTCAGATTTTTTTCTGATTAGCCATCTGCCATATGAAATCAATAAGATGCTTTAATGTTTAAGAAAATAAGAGCAAAAGAGAAATATAGAAAATATGACCCAGACATGAAAATTTAATATCAGCAAAGGTTCTCAAGGTATCCTACAACAAAGTGGGCTAGCATATTATATTGCATTATCATGTTGACGTCCAATTAATAAGTGCATGTTAGTAATCCATACGCCTTGGGTAGACAACTATAACGTATTTATGATAATCTAGAATAAATGTCATCCACAAATACATGAATCTGAGGCTAGTAACAGTCAGTCAACTTCTTCTGACCCAGAACCCCCTCATGGAAAAAAGAAAAGAAAAAGAAAATAGAAAACAAAAACAAAACTAAAACATAAAAAATAACAAACAAATAGACAAAAGAAAAGAAACCAAAAAAGAAAAAAAGAAAAAACTCATCTCAAGATGGCTTTCTTTAGTTATAAACATCAAACCATAGCTGGCCTAGATTCTTGAGAGTTCAAGTATTCCATTTTTTTAACAGAAACTAGTTATTTTAATCTGTGCAGCTGTAAAATTAAAAATATGCAATTTGCAGCCCTTTAAGGATATTTAATGCATCATCAGCACAAACTAGTTGCATGCCATCATTGCTCTTCTATACATACTAATATTTAACTTCCACAAAGTATTGAAACCTCTTTGTCACAGAAGTTTATTTTAGAAACCATGCAGAGTCAAAAATGGAGCAGTAATTGTTTGTTATACAACAACCAACTTCCATCATTTGCAGCTAGCTAAGAAATGCAGTACAAGTTCACGTTTGTTAAACCTAGATCTGGAATACACGAACATGTAATTCTCCAATGAATAAGAATAAATAAATCCAATTACATACAAAAGAATTGTGCCAAACATGGATCACTTAAATACAAAACTGAAATGTTTATAGACATGAAATTATAACCAAAAGCCAATATTAATGATATTGATAATGGTCTTTCTCTTATTATAGGACTGTGTTAAATGTATTAACCTACCACATACACTTGTTGCAGAATGTTACACCAATATTAGTAGTCATATGGTCTCATTTTAAGTTTGCTCTTCCTATGTACATGGGTTCTGTTAGAATATCTTTTGTGCATATAGAGTTAAGGGTAATTTGTGTACATTTGTATTAGTATGTTAGGTTGCACAGTCCAACATAGATAGAAGTCAGCGTACATTTGTATTAGTATGTTAGGTTGCACAGTCCAATATAGATAGAAGTCAGCATATAGTCAGAGACACCATCACATATTCCCTCATAGTGGTTTTCTCTACCTTCTTTTCTTACATGGTATCAGAGCATGGTTTTTTTTTTTTCTTTTTTTTCTTTTTTTTTTTTAAAAAAAAACCCTAGCTGCACCATACCTGTAAACCCTAGAAACCCTAAAGGACCTGCCATGTCTTCATTCTAGTGGAGTTTTCCTTTCTGCCATGTGTCTTTCCAATTATATCCCCTGTGATCATGGTTGCCCTTCACCAGTCTCACTTCAGTGAGTCAAGATTGTGCCAGCTTTCATAGTCATACATGCCTCCACATGTTTCTCCTTCATGCTAGTGAACTCCATTTCCCACTGGCATGTGAGATTTGCTTGTCGGTATCCCTTTAGCCAGTATCCAACTCAACTTCGCTAACCATTTTAGGTCCTCACTGCTTGATTCATACATTGTTAAAAACTTCCTAGCTATGATCGCATCCTTTGTGACCTAGAGATTGCTCCCTATTTTATTGTTAACCCCACATTCCAATATGAAGATTTGGTGCAAGACATTGTAAGATTGGAAATGGAGTTCCCAAACTCAAATATTTGAACATATATCATACTTGCGCACCTGTACACCATAAAATGAAATTTGTCAGTTTATTAAATATTTATTTTATAAGTAAAAATTTTTATATGAGTTTTCTTTATCTAGAGATAATTTATAAGTTTAGGAAGTCTTGATTTAGTTATCGTTAGGAATTCTAAATTTAATTCCAAATTTAGGAAACATAATAAATTCATAAGTTAATATCTAGCCCTATGAACGGTGCTTGGTGTATTAAATAACTATATTGTGATTGGCTCTTGAGAATGTGAGGATCTTGCGAACATTTTAAGTTTATGTTGGATTTCTTTGTTGGAGATTTCTTCCTTGAGTTCTGCATCACATAATTCCCTGGGTTTTGGATTGTGGCATCAATTGGAGTACTTTAGAATAGCACACTTTGTTTATTTTTGATAAAATTGTCATTCACATAGATAGCCTTTGCAAAACAATGTGCCAAAACAATCCAAAACCAAGCACTCTGCTTATAAAGAGAGATTGCATTACCCATGTTAAAGGGGTTGTGCTACCTAATTGGAAAGACAGGATAAATTCTTTCATCCAATCCTGGTGCTTTTATAGATATGACACATTTTATTTAAGATGTACGTTAATGTATCAATAAGAACATGAAGGAAATTGTTAGAAGCTTTACTAGGGTCGGCCAATATGGTTCATATTATGAAATAGTCAGAGAACATTAAAAACAAAAAGAGAATGCATATGCATGTCTCATCTTACTTATTAGAGACAGTCACTACATCCTGCCATGTAACAGTCTTAAATGTTGGTCACAAATATGAAGAATCATGTCTACAACAGCAAGTGACCTATGATGTTCTTCTTCACCCAAAGAAAATCCCAATTCTTTGAGTGTTTACTAATTATAAAATGTTACTAGAGGTATAAAATCTTTGGGAGTTTGGCATAAGTACACAGATTTTCCATGTGAATACATGGGCCAATCTTTACATTAAGCAAATTGACAGATTCAATGGGGTCCCAATATGTATACTGACCCATTCGTAAAGTAGCAGTCTGTAATACCATCTTATCAATGTGCCTTATTTTATAAATTATAGGGCTAACAATTGGACATTCGAGTAAACTGAAAACATTGCAGCCAATGAGATACCAAACAACCTTAAGTCAATATTGTTGAACCTTAGTGGGCCTTAGCCTACCACTTCTTAGCCAATGGTACCCTCTCAGTCACCTAACAACCAGTGGTTAAATAACCTTCCCCACATCAATCAATTGCTCAGCCTATTGGATCGTCTTAATTCGTCAAGTCTATAGATGTAGTTTTGTCCTCAAAATCATAGTTGTGATGCATGCAATTTGTGTAGGATTCTTCAGCTAGAGGTCATAGAGCCCAAGCTTCCAGGTTAATAAGCCACTTGTATCCCAGCCAAGCAGGCAACAAGCAGTTGCTCCTCAACCAAACCATTACTAAGTCAATTGTCCCTATATTAATTGTGCTTGAGTTTGTCATTTCTCAATCAATCAACTAATCCACAAGAAGCTGGCATCAACCTATATTTCTCGGTTAGTCAATCCCCACCTAGCCTGTTGCTTCACAGTTCGTTATTTTCAGTCAGATATTCCACAATAAAGCTGCTAATTAATCAGTCATTTCTCAATTAGTTCTTCACAATCAGTTGCTCCTCAGGTTGTCACTTTGCACTTAGCTATTCCAATAAACTAGCTCCTCCTTGACCTATTACTCATTGACAACAAAATAGTGTCCTGTGGAGAAATTGGATGCACTAATGCTGATTAAGAAATGATAGGCCAATTAACATTTGATTACAGAATACCCAAGTAAGAAACAACAAACCATGGAGCAATAGGTTGGGGAATAACAGATTGAAATGATAGGTTGATGGGCAACTGGTTGTGGACCACCTAGCTGAGAAATGACATTCAATATGGAACAATGAGCCAAGTAACAACAAGCTGAGAAGTAATTAGATGTTACTTATTGGTTGAGATACAGCTAGTTGATCAACCACAAAACTTGGCAATTATGATCATTAGATTAGGAGTCCCCAAATAAATTTCCTATATTACCATTTTCAATGTGGTCCATTCTAGAACTGTAAGAAGACAGAACTACAAACTATAGATTTGTTGAATTCAGAAAAACCAAGATGCTGAGCTCATATAGCAGGAGGTGATAATAATTGAAGGCAGAAGGTTGTTTAATAATTGGCTGCAGGGTGATTGACTAGGCTGCTGTTATGGAATAACTGGATGTGTTAAGAATAGATTAGTCTTTTTCTTATATGTCATAATATGTGCTTGTACTTTATCTGTATAAAATACAGTAGATGAACCTAGTAGGGTCATGGCTTCATTAATGGCTGCTGTTATGGAATAATTGGATGTGTTAAGAATAGAGTAGTCTTTTTCTTATATGTCATAATATATGCTTGTACTTTATCTACATAAAATACAGTAGATGAACCTAGTAGGGTCACGGCTTCGTCAATCCTCTCTCTCCTCTTTCCTTTCTCTAGTGACAGAGTCAAAACCCTAGTTCTCAGGTACTAATGACAACCAAATCTATTCTTTGCCTTCTTACTCTCTTTTCTTCCCTATCAGCTAGCCTATGTGATAGAATTGTGACTAGG